AGTCGTCACTACTTTGGAAACTTTAAACACCCTTATTTAGCTTTCATTTCACGAGTATTCCCTCTATGGTATCTCAATAATAATGTCGTATTACTATATCCATATTGTGTGTTTTGAGGCTTTCTTTATTTGTTTTCTATTGATCTGTCACTTGTATAATTTCACTTTATATAACTCTAGTGATGATAGCGCTTCCAATCCTTTTGAAATTTGAAAGAATATGTCTCACTACGAATCGAGATCACTCATTGGAGCACTTGTCCCAATTTGAAAAGCTTCCCTGATATACATCACCATTCAGCCTCTGGCTGGCTGGTTGGTCGGTAACATACTCAGTCACTCGAAGTAGATTTCTCATGTACCAGACTAAAATAGCGTACGCTTTTTAGTTTTGGAGCTGATGACATCACCCATTTATCCAGTATGATGTAAATGTAGTGTGTGACTCATTGACAAAGAGCTGAATAGCTTAACTAATGAACGGTGACAAAGAAACATTACCACAGTACAGCTTTCTAATAGTCCCCAAACGTTTCCTGTAATTCATCGATCAGTGTTGCTTTGTAATGAAACAACCAACCTATAAATAACAAGGAAAGCACCAATCACCATCTACGTGAGAAATCTGAAGGAAGTTGTTTCTTTGACTTACTGACCTGGCGCAGCATTGTTTCAACTACAGGTAGCGTAACAGGATGTTATCATGAGCTGACATTAGTTAGAGAACTATTGGAAAGCCTGGGAGTACCGGACAGCCAACTACTTCGTCCTAGTTTGGGACTCTTCAGTAGTGCGCACCAATCGGGGTTCGAACCCCAGGACCTTCTGGTTACAAGGCGAGCTCGTATACCATTGAGCCACTTGGACCCGATCCAATGGCCAGCCCATGAATTCAAACTTCTGTCAATTCACGACATTGCGCAACCGCTAGCCAATGTCTTCGGTGAGTATTTGTCCTCACACCCGAGCTGCTGCATCCTACTGGTCACGACTTCTCATTGGAACACCAGGTAACTACCTACCTGAATATAGCAAGTCGCTAGTGAGCATCTCATTGATATTCAAGTGTTGGTTTGTAGGGATTTGATTGGTTACAGGATTCCATCATGAGCTGACATTGGTTAGAGAACTGTTGAAGAGTCCCAAACTAGGACGAAACAGCTGTTCAGTACTTTCAGGTTTTCCAGTGGTTCTCTAACTAATGTCAGCTCATGATGAAAACCTTGTAACCAATCAATTCCCTACAAACCAACACTTGGGTACAGGTAGCGTATTTGCCAAAGATGCCAAAGCCAAGATTAGAAAAAACCAAGACGTTCAAGGCGTCCATTACTCTAAAATTAGTATGGATATCAACTGCATTCAGTGCGAGGAACAAGATCCAGATTTTCAACGCCAATGTTAAGTCACTGCTTCCATATAATTCACAAACTTGGAAGTTTTATCATGAAAAGCATTTCCAACAGATTCCATACTTTCATCAATATCTGCCTTCTTTGTCTCGATCCTGGAAAAAAAGACGGCCGACTAGAAAGGATAGTCAGCAGGGAACTCTGACAATGTAGAGAACCAGCCAAGGACTTATTGCTCAACAAATAGGCTGAAGAAAATGGAGATTTTGATTTGATTTTTGATTACAGCTTGATTCCATACCGTATTTTTGGTACAAGTATGGAATTTTCAGCGTGGATATCGGTAGCCCGAAATTCGCAGGCCAACCATAGATATCAGGTGTGCGTCGGCGTGGGCTCGAACCTCGGACCATGTCCATGGTCGGTGAGAGTCCTAACCACTGTGCCACCGACGCACACATGGGAAAATACGCTGAATGGGAAATGCGCTGAGGAGACCTTTGAGTGGCATAGTACTCCAGTCCTTCGAGTGGAACTCCCATGGGGTGCTGTTACCTTGACGTGGTGGTCGGGCTTGCACATCGCGATGACCCAGCAAGCTACACTGGCTGGAACCAATGTTCCTGCAGGTCCTACCATGCCAGGAAGGTTGTTAGAATAGCGATTAGACTGAAAGCAGTTAACGGAATAGTGTAAGAATCTTTTTTACACTCTGCTGGGGGGTCTGTGGGCGGATTTGTACTGCTGAGGAACAGGGGTGTAACAGCAGTGAGATGTTTCCCTCAGATGACCAGCATGCCAGCTACGCTATGTCTTCACCCTGTAGAGAGGGGGTTAGAAAAGTTCGACCCTAAAAATTGTACATCCAGACTTACCCTACGGTGGTCCGTATCCGGCGGCAAGTTTACTAATACGGAACCAAACCAAGAAAACAGTTCGCACAGGCCGTGTGTGACCGGCCTCAAGCAGTTGTCCCCTGGGCTCTGCAGTCACTCAACACTAACTCCCTCTCTGTTTCAGGTATCCGAAGAATCAATCAACTTCCACGGTGTGGGCAGCCGGGAAGTAACAACCGCCCACACACTTCCGAAAGCACACGAAGTCTTCCTGTGCATCATTCTCAGACCAGTGGGGTGCGTCTGCTGGGGATGTGGAAAAGATCGTGTAACAGAGGAAGTAAGAGCCTGTGGGCAAACGGCAAGCCAGCCAAATGAGACCACAGAGAACAGGACGAAATGGTGGTGTCCTAATGAAGCCGTGTATTACACCCGAAACCCAAGTATAAGATAAGCCCGCACTGAATTTCAGAGTCAAGTCTCATTAGAAATTTTATTTTCTGTTAACACTTGAGGATAATTTTAAGTCGTACTATAATAGAAAAATGGATTTTTGGGACATCGGGAAAAAGTTATTGTCCTTTATCGATTTCCTGTTTATTGCATTGTATTTATTTATTTTTTCGTTTGTTTTTACAAATCTTGTGATGCAAGTTAGTATGACCAGGATTGGTTTATTGATCCAATGTATTATTGGTTTTTTTGTTATTTGTAGTGAATATACAAACTATTTGTTTTTTGTGTATAGGCATGCATGCATGCAAACAAAAAAATAACGATCCTTCATACTGTATTGTGTTGGATGCTTCTCCTCCTCCTCTTTTCTAGATGTTTTTCTTTGTGAATGACTAATTCCACATATCAATCACTTAATCTTCTCTATATGTATCTCTCTCTCTCTCCATGTGTATATGTTCGTTTGTTCAGAGGTTTTGTTCCCATTAAAAATGATGTAATAGTTTGCTAACAATGTGGCCAATGTGTCTTATTTGGCCTAAACACTAGGCATTCAACCGATTGGTCGTGGGTTCCAATCCCACTTCATTTACTCTGGCGCCTAAGCCACTTGGAAGAGGATCATCAACCCTCACACACACATGGACACACAATAAGTATGGCTCATAACCCGTGATACATGCAAATCTCTTCCGAAAAAGCAGATTTCAAGTAACAGTATACATTTTGTAGGAGAAGGAAGTTTGATAGTTCTGCTGAAATATATATATATATATATATATATATATATATATATATATATATATATATATATATATATATAATTGAATGACTTCCAACATACGACTTTGCACAAAAGTACATCTATTGAAATTGTCACACTCCACTCCACGTGGCACACAAAGAGTTAGAGGAAGGAAGGAAATTATTCCAGAGAATTATCATTAGCAGAAGTTGACTGGAGAAAGAAATGGTAACACGGCAAGATATAAGTGTTTAATGGATTGGAAGGATTGCAAGGAGTGAATGCATCTACTCCATGAAGAATGATTCTGAGCCCTGTTACCATTAGTCTCCAGCCATTGTTTCTTAGCATCGGAAGTTCCCCAACCAGACAGTTTACACCTCTCAACGTGTCCGTCTCAAACCAATTGTCAATGTCTTCATGAATCGATTCCAGGTTTTGATCTGATCTCCTCCAACTTTCTTCGATCTAAACCGTTATCAAAAGGTGTCTATTTTGCCTCACAAAATTTGTTGGTCACTCGTACTGAATTTGTTCATCGTGTAGATAAAGAAATGTTATTTTTAGTTTCTCTGAGTTAAATACGACTTTTCATAAAACCGATTGATCATGTGATAGTTACCGATGATTCTGTTTGTTAAGTTTTAGAATTCACTTTAAGTATGAAAGTGATATCCCGTTAAATTTCACATGTATAGTAGTATGTAGTTGCAGGTACTTTTTTTTTACTAGTGTGTTGTAGGTTGTTAGCTTGAGCAATCGACTTTCAGCTATCGAATTCAAGGTATAACTTAGTCTCTGATTACTTCGATTCGGATAACAGCACTTTCTAGTATTCGTCTTCCACACAGAGTCTAGTTCGTAGTAATCTCATTTATATACGTTCCCTGTGGCAGTTAGGACTTTGAAACTTCAGTAGCAGTGGTGGTGTTTTTATGGTGTGGGGGATACATAGCCCCATGCCCATCCTCGCTCTTCTTTCCTGAGATTACTTCTAGTTAGGAAGGTAGGAGTAAGGTTTGTTTGTGTATATCAATCAGGAAAAGCGAACTTAAACCATCTGCGTAGCTGACGAGCATGTTGACGAAATATTGGTTGCTCCTCTTCGAAAGGGAAATATGTGTTACCTTTGGACTAAACAGCGTCTTTATCTAACCTACATAGCTTTAGTAGCGAACAAAATATTAGCTTTGGGAGTGAGAAATCCTCGTTCAGCTTGTTGGCTAACTTTCATCAATTATGCTACTGGTTGGATGGATGGACGAAGTTTGTGAAATGCATTTTTTTATCCCACCTAACGAATATGGTGAACAAGTTGACGAAGCTAATGTACACTGAGTAATTTAAGTAGAGCCTATCTTTTGTTACCAGAGGTGTTACTCACCTAACATCTCAGCTTTTCAATGATCTAAATTCCAGAACTTTTGCTGAAGAAATATTCCTGTTTTATGAAGTTCTTTGTTTATTGTTATTTCTTTAGTTTTAGTTAACGATGCAACCCATCACATATGTTGTGATTCGTGTTTCTAGATCCTTTTTGACATCTCTGTGAATTGCATGCACAAAACTGTCGTTAGAGTGATTTTTCCCCTTTTCTCGGCTTGTTTTCAGATCGGAGTTAAGCAGGGTACTCAATCGTGGAAGTACAATGTGGTTATGGCCTAAACCTAATTTTGAAGCACGTGTAAGTTCTCTATGCTTTGTCAAAGAGTTTTATTTTTGTGAAGATTTTATGATCGAATGTTGGCTTGCAGGGATATGACTGGTTACAGGATTTCACCATTATTTATTTTTATTTATTTTTGATTACAGCTTGATTCCACACTGTATTTTTGGTAGAGGTATGGAATTTTCAGCATGGATATCGGTAGCCCAAATTTTGCCTGCCGACCATAGATATCAGGTGTGCATCGGCAGGGGATCGAACTTCGGACCATGTGCATGGTCGGCGAGAGTTCTAACCACTGTGCCACCGACGCACATGACATCGGTTAGAGAACCATCAGTTTTATTATTAGTTAGCCGTCAGCAAACCATAAGATTGAATATCTCATGTATTTTATCCTAAACTGTTCAATAGTATTGTTAGAGTCCACCTCGCAGCTGTGTAAATTACGTATTTGGGGGGGAGGGGGGTGTTGAACTGATTCGAGTCTCTTAACCAAGTCGAATCGGGTAAACATCACTGATGCGATTGGCAACAAACGGGCGAAACTGCCGTCCGCTGTTTAGATCGCTTAGATCTGATTAGGCCAGTAAGCGCCACTAGTTGATGTGGGTAGTATCCAACCAGTCATCCCAATCAGTCAGTAGTGTATGCTTGCTTTCTTGATTGACGTTTCTGGTAGTATAATGCAAATCAAATATTTTGATTTGTATAATTTCAGTTTTCACTGAAAACTGTAGTGGAATTTTTTCACCTGGTGTTTTGCAGATTACAAATGGCGAATTCGATTAAAAAAATGCTGGAACTTACAGCGTTATATGGCATTAATTTACTGATGATTGATTGCTCGTAATTGCCTTAAAAACTGATGAATATTTGTATGCTATTTTGTCATATCCAAGATTGGACGTAGTGGCACATTCTCTTTGTGCACTTTCTGCAGGCCATATAAACGGGGAATCACGGAACCGGAGGGTCGTATTTGCTCGAATATTTCAGAGCTGATAGTCGTTTCGTTCTTCATCTTCGTCAGCATTTGTGTTAGCTTTCCTTCAATTAGTTCCGTTTGGTCTTTCTGGCTACCTTCATCTGACATGACTGGTAACATTTTATCGATGTAGTCTTGGCGGTCCATCAGGACAGTGCCAGCACCTTTGTCGGGGCGTGTCACAACCAAGTATTTGTTCTTTAGAATCTCACGTAGATGCTTTCTGAGCTCGGCTGAAATCAATCTTTTGACATTTGGTCTCGTGTTGATGTACTGATGGCAGCTATTCAATACTGTAGACTTGAATTGTTCATATGATGTGTTGGACACTAGAGGGGTGTCATTTGTCTGTTGGATCGGTGCTTCAAACTGGACTTTAATATCCAAATCATTCGAATTTGTCGAAATCCCACAGAATTTTGGACCCAATGACAAGGCTTGCAATTGGACAGAAGTCAATGATATACTAGAGTAGTTGAAAACGTATTTCTCTGGTGTGGCAGGAAAACGTAAATAAGTGTCAGCGGCTTTGAGGCTATTCGCGAGTTTCAGGTTTACATCTTCACAGCGTCTTCTTGAAACTGAATCGATGTAGTCCAGTTAATTATTTCAAGCAAGTACGACCCTCGGGTTCCGTGATTCCCGGTTTATATAACCTGCCGAAAGTGCACAAAGGGAATATGCCACTGCGTCCAATCTTGGACATGACAAATTCCCCATATCATGCTACTGCTAAGTGGCTCGCAGACATCCTCCTACCTATTAGAAATGATCTCTGCAAGCATGCTATTTTGTTAAGACCAAGTCACATTCTAAAATTCTTGTGAACCAGAGAGAATAAAATATTTCTCTCCATAAAATCTTGAGCTGAAGTTGTTTTAGTTCAATTAACGTAACGCAACTCATATGTAATTAGTTATTCATATTTCGTCTTGTTTTACTGACGGAGAGCTGCAACACTGACTGAAACAAATGTTACTGCCGGTCTTACCATTATGCTTGAAGCCTGAAGGTAAAGTCGTAGTGATGGCGTGTGTACGGTAGTAACAGGCAGCAGGGTGTTTCACTCAGGTGATCAGCAAACCAGCTTTTTCCTCTGCTTATCTTTAATGATGGGAGTTGGTAAAATTCGATTCTGAAAATTTCAGATCCCGGCGGTTGAGTCTTCCTCCATAAAATAATTATAACTCCACAAACCACTCCGGTCAACGTGTGTGTGGCAGTACTCAAGCTGTTTCCCCCCCTCCCCCCTTGGGCTGTACAGCCATACAACACTAGTATTCTGTCAATTCATAGTTTTAACGGTTATTTGTAATTCTGATGTAAAATTCTTCTGACTGAGCTTCTACATGGAACTTTGACACCTCAATCTATGCAGTTCCCCATTCTCCTCGATCAACTTTTGTTTTTTCTTACCTAACAGTATATGCCTAAACTCAATATTTTACTCACCATATTGTACAATGAACATGAGAGATACAATTCAATCACCTATTGACAATGCAACCAATATCTTCAAGGCCTTCAATTTTAATAGGTATGTCTTAGCCATGAAAGGAGGACAGAGCGAACTGCTGCATACATGTCATGTAATCGATGGTAGCCGAATGTCATGTCTATTCCAAAGGTGTCGCATAAAGTTTCGTTGCAACCTTCGGGGAATTCATATATTCAAGTGATAGTTTGTAGGGATTTGATTGCTTACAAGGTTTTCATCATGAGCTGGCATTAGTTAGAGAATCATTGGAAAACCTAGGAGTACTGGACAACTGTTTTGTCCTAGTTTGGGACTCTTCATCAGTACGCCGGTGTTTGAACCCCGGTGGCAGAATTCATAGGCCGTTGGATCGGGTGCCAGTGGCTTAATGGTATACGAGCTCGCCTTGTAACCGTAAGTTCCTGGGCTCGAACTCTGGTGGTGGTTGCGTACTGCTGAAGAGTCCCGAACTAGGACGAAATAGTTGGCTGTCCAGTACTCCCAGGCTTTCCAATGGTTCTCCAACTAATGTCAGCCCATGATGAAAACCTTGTAACCAAGTTCATATATTGTTGTAACTGAAGTAACCTGAACTCTTGAACCTCTACTTCCTACAAGTGCAACTCACATTCTTATTTATGTTAAGGTAATTGATTGATGGTGACGAAGTATTGAAATCTACAAATTTTCACAAAATTTTATCATAACATTTCATAGTAAGATATGTTCTATTATATTTCATCATCAAGGTAGGTGGCTAGTGTTGATTTCATTTCTGTTAAATCTGTCTGTCATATTTTGTTCACCTGCCTGACTTTTGTTACTTACATCTAGGTGTATAATCGTTTGATCAGCCAGCAAAGCAAGGCGTCCTTCACTGTATACAATTCATCAACTGTCCCTCTACATTGGGAAATGAAAAGCAGTGATGACAATAATAATCTTTTGTTCCCACCGATTCTGTTACTCGCTTCCCCTGATTACATATTCAATTCAACTGTTTGGCCATTGAATATGAGTCATTATCATTTGGATAAAATTAAAGGTATGCACGGATATGATCCCGACCTACCGGATATGCATATCCCATTGTTCATATATGGTCCAATGTCAAATCGTGGTTTCCGTATGAATTACACGCAAGAGATTCGTCCAATTCATATACACAGTTTAATGGCTTATTTGGCGTCAATCGACTTATCATCAAGCGATCACCAATCACTCAATCACTTCACCTCACTACTAATAAGTAGTAATCATGAATCAGACAAAGCATCATTTATCGACTCTGCATACTGGTTGGATAAATCATCATTTTCTTTTTCTCTCTTGAATGGTGTACGTTCTATGCCAATCATCTTAATTATCACCATCGTACTGGCATCTTCCTTTGTAGTGATTATCAGTGTGACAATATTGATATACATGAAGTGTCGAACATGCATCTTCACTACACCTGTAGTCTATCAAGATGAATTGAATAAGGAGTTAGTCAAATCAGAAGTACTACCCGATGCCTGAATGTTTAGTAGTGTTGCTCATTGTTTGTCGCTTCCTTTCTATTGACTGTTTTCATTACAACAAGTTGCAATTTCGGAATGCTTAACATTTGTGTGTGTGTGTGTGTGGATGTCGGTTCTGCTAGTTATTCCTTCTTTATTCCACCGTCTTTAAATATCAGGGAATGTAACAGTCGTGAAGAGGGGGATATATTCCTCTTCAACTGTCGTCTGTATAATTTGTTAGTGTATGTGTGTGTGTGTGTGTGCAACAGACAATACTATTACCTCTCTACCTATATCTACCTGTTCACTAGAATTGTGGATATAGCTCTTTTCACTGTCATCGCAACAATAAACGCCTGCCGGCCGGTCTCCACCCACCGCCTTCAACATCGCCTCAGACGGACAGCCTTTGTTTTTTTGTTTTTTTTGCTGGTTTTTTAGAGTCAATTTATACGTTGTTTAGGATGTTAGATTTACTACAAATAACTATCGTGATTCAACTGTGAATAACAGAAATAATAAAAATTAGTTATATCCCGTTGTTAATACTTATTATAGATATACATTTATAATGTTTAGCTTGGAGTTTGTATTTTTCAATAATCTAAAGTATCATTCTTACTATTATTATTCCTTGTCTTTGACTGTTTCTGCTACTGTTTGTCTGTATGTGTGTATGCGCGCCTGTCTTACTCTACCTTAAAGCGCAATTTTTCCCTTTCCAATTTTTACATGCATTTGTACACATTTGCATCTGTATCTGCTCTGTGCTGCGCCGTGCCACGCCACTCCAAGCTAACCTAAGCCAAGCCAATTTTTCGCGTCTAATTTGTATTCCTTTTTCTCCAAAGATGACTTCTCTCACAGCTTCCAATTTTGTTTGAGGTGGGATTTGCAAGTAATGTTTAATGACCAAGTGGATGTCGGTGTGAATGTGTGTTAGTCTCTGTGTTTGTGCGTGTTTCTGTGCCAATTTCAAATGCAATCCTTTCTCCCTCTCTCTCCTTCTTTTATACTAGTCTATTGCTATTTGTTTGTTTCCTAAGTACCAAAGAAAATAACAATATTATAAAAAAAAGAAGAGTAATAAATAGTTCTTCACTTTGGAAAATATTGTCTTCTTGCGTTTTGTAGGGTTTCTTTCAATTGATACTGTTGTTTTATATTGCAATTATTGTTCCCTTCGGTTCCGAGTGGAACAGCACTTCTCTGTTTCACTCTCTCTTCTCTACAGTTATCTTTTTCTGGCCTCACGATTGTCAATTGGGCTCCCATCTCCTGGTCACACGATCTTCTCCATATCATCCTCGGACGACCAACTAGTCATTTCTCACTGGGGTTCCATTCGAGGCTTTTGCCGGGTGTATAATGTCACCTAGTGGTTTCCTTAACGTGTATCCTCTTCAACGCCATTTTCTTCGGCTTATTTGCTGATTGATTGATTGACTGGTTCTTGGTTGGTTGGTTCGTCGTTAGAGTTCCGAATTTTGTTCTTTATGTTGAGTACAGTAGATTTCCAAACTGGTTTAAGAGTGTGGTGGAGGCCTGTCTTGCTTTTTGCAATTCTGGTCTTGATATTCTCATCCGTGCTGTCGCCTGTTGTTGAAACGATTATTTTGTTTTTTTTTCTTCATGTTCCCAGTAGAACATCGGGATTCAAGCTAGAGGCCTGAATTTTCAATAGCAGTGGTGTTTATTTTTTAAGGGATGGAGTTGCTAGCCTCACGCCCAACTTTCCCGCTTTACCAGCCTTGTTACCGGCTTAGTAGTGAGGTAAAGGAGTGCATCGGAGGCCAAAAATCGAATCCCGTACCACCTGAGTGGTTGACGAGCATCCTACCGCTGTGCCACCGACGCACCAGTTGAAACAGAGTGACCTCTTTCAGATTAATTTCATTTATAGTGATTGGTACTCCTTGTTGGTTGGTTATTTTCATCACTTCTGTCTTCTCTGTATATTCACTTTAAGTCCTGTCTTCGCTTCCTGCCTTTTCAGCCAGTTTTTAGGTTTTCGCTTGTAAGTCTTTGAGTTTGTGTGATATCAGGCACAAGTCTACTCAGTTTAAATCTTCTAGAGCCTTGTTATCGGTGCAAAGTATTCTTGTCTTGTCGCTATCCATAGTCCAACACATAATCCAGTCCATCTCACTTAGGAATATCATCGGTTATAGTAGACAGGCAGTCTTGACCTGCTCCTGTCTTCACTTCAAAGGCTTGGCAGAGTTTTCTGTTGTAGATCACTTGACACTGGCCATCGTCATAGAGCCTGTTGGATAAGGTTGATTAAGAGTCGGGGCACGCCGTAGTGTTGAAGTAGTTTCCAAATTACTTCGTGGTCAACACTTTCGAAGGCCTTTTCAAACTCTACGAAATTTGAGGTAAAGATTTTACTTGTATTCTATGATGTGCTCGGTGATGATGCGTAACGTTACAGTTTGATTTTTTAATCATAAATTCAGCCTCTTCCGGTCGGAGTTTTGTATTCAGAGCATATTTTAGTCTCTCCAGGATGATGGCGACGGAATAATGAACATACTTGTAAGATAAAAGGAGGCAAAGTTCTTTATTTCAAAACTTTTTATTAGCCGTCTCAAAAATCACATTAATTGTTGTAAATACAACTGGTCTGACAGTCATTGTAAAGTACATTACATTATATTTTGTCTCAATGGGTTAATAGTGTCTTTTATCCTACAGAGCTTGTCCCTGAGTGAGTGTGTAGGTTTAAATGCCTACCTAATTCCAGAGCTATTAAGAGTCCTACTTAGGGCCTCTGATATCCCTTGTGTATTCGACAGTACTGCAGAGGCTTTCAATTCTTTATTAGGGATTTTTAAGCTTCGATAATATTACCAACTCACTGAGAGACTAATTTTGTGTGACTTTAGGACCCGACAGATCCAATTTATCAAAAGCAATATATAATTTATACCATATAACGACTTGAAGGTCAATTATACAGGTCACACTAGTAGATCGGGATCATTTAGATTATCGCAACATAAGAATTAAGCTAGAGCTAGAATGATTAATTCTGCTAAGTTAATTAACCTAGAAAAAAGTTCAACCATTCACTTACATGTAATCACACAATAGACTGGGACAAGGTGAAATTATCAAAAAGTTATATCATTAGATGTAATGAAGTGAAGATGACTCACTAACCTGAAGAATAGTACTGACTGTAGTTTCGCATATGCTAGTCTACGTCGTCTCTGGCGTAGACGTGACATCCGGCTGGCTATTGACCGAAGGGCGTGTGTACTGCTCAACAGTCCGCTCCGTTCTCCTTTATGGCTGTGAGACCTGGTCATTGAGAGTGAAAGACATGAAAAGATTAGCTAGCTGTCTTCCACCATAGTTTCCTGCGTTCTTTCTCCCGTGTTATGTTGTGGCATAATAAGGTAAGCAATATTGGGGTTAGGCAGTGGTCGAGTGCTAGGTAAGGAGGGGAAATCAATCGACGAAGCTGTGAAGCTACATCAAGTGAGATGGTTAGGATATGTGTTACGTATTCCTAGTCATCGCCTTCCTCGACTACCGACAATGTTAGCTGACATAGGGTGAGGCTGGAAAAGAGCTAGTGGCGGTCAAACCGAAACATGGCCTCATCAGTCAATGAAATCCACGACTGTTAGTTTAATCCAGCCACGTAGGGAGGTGTAGACTTCTTGACTGGTTGGGGTCCTCGGGGCGGTAAAAACCAATGGTGGGAAACAATTGGTGATATGGCTCACAATCGCTCTCAATGGCTGACGCAGATTCATCCATTTCTTGTGACTTATGATTTCCAATGAAACTATATTGTTCTTCGTTGCTATTATTCCTTTGTCTCACACCTCTGTTTACTGTCTCTATTATGTATTTTTTCTACTTTCTTCTGTTGCTTTGTGCGCAAGAAGGAGTGGAGTGTGGCGACGTGAACTGCTACACATAGATGCAAAGTTCTTTGTCCAAAAAAGACAGACAATAGACATCAGTTGTAACTAAACATCTTCGAAACTTATACTTTTATAACACTCTTTCTTCCTTCCTTCCAATTTGTCTCAGGGTGGTAGAATTTTCTGGATATTTGGATGGACATGTGGAGTATTATCAGCCTTCACGCAAAAACCACAGGGCTGAGTCCACAACACATCGGCTAAATGTGTACTATTAGTTGCCAAACACTGACAGCATAATTAAATGTATCAATATGTGTACACGTCGATGGATAACACCCACTGTATGTGATCGTGTAAGCCGTGCGTCGGTGGCCCGTTAGTTAGGACTCTCGCCGACCATGCACATGGTTCGAGGTCCAATCCCCTGCCGACGCACACCTGATATCTATGGTTGGCCTGCAAAATTTGGTCTACCGATATCCATGCTGAAAATTCCATACTTGTACCAAAAATATAGTGTGAATTCAAGCTGTAGTCAAAAATAAAAAAATTTAGGCTAAATTCGGTAGGGGAATTAATCTTCCAAAAGAACGATTTCTAAAACGTCAAAAAGCTAAGTCATGTGATATACAATTAATGACGTAGTCCTATCCTATGATTAGAAGTTAAACTCATCTATTCTACGATTTTACTCGATAACTGTGAGCTATTTAAACGACCCAGTTTATAAATCGCTAGAATTTCGAATTGATGTGGATAAGATTTTGTAACTCAGGTGGTTGATATAGGTTGGTGTAATTGTCTTCTCTGAGCTGGATAAGTGAATTAATAAGAAGACTTCATTGTCCTACTCCGGTAATATCTTCACCAGTGACTTCAATATGACGTCAATCACCGGTTGATTCCACCAGCCTCTTTCAAGTTTAATGACCATAGCTATAATCTCACATTAATGATATATTTACTCTTAACTCACATTAAGTGTTATATTTTTCCAAAGATTGGATTGCATGGAGGATTTCATCATGAGCTTGTATCAGTTAGAGAACCAATGGAAAACCTAGGATACTGGACAGCTGTTTCGTCTTAGTTTGGGACTCTCCAGCAGTATGCACCCATCGGGGTACGAACG